ATGAAAAACTGGCAAATAGAACATGGAAATTGTTATGAATAATAAGAATTACGCAGAGTTTAGCTCGAGAACTCACAAATAAATAATGAAAACGTGAGGAGAAAGGTCTAAAAACATTACTGTTTTACAGGTAGATTTAATAGGGGAAAGCACACAAATACACAAAGTAGAAGGGAAAGGCCACAGTGCTCTACCAATTCACAAAACCGTACTATATCTGAGCACTGACCAGGCTGATGTGTGTCATCACAACAGAGATAACAAAAATAAGAATGGAAGCAACATTTGGAGGGGAAATAAAATCACTAACAACAAGTCTCCAGGGGTTAGCAAGATACACGGTATTTAAAACCCGGTTACACCTGGGCGTTCTCTTCTCCCCAAAGCCCCTATCATAGCTCCTTCCAGTTTAATAGATTCCCTAGCGGGAAAAAGTTTCAGCCACTACCTTCCCAAAGGAATGTCTGAATTTTTTTTTTTTTTTTTTAAAAGATCTGTTTTGCAGCCACCCTTGTACCATCTCCCCTGGAGTAAAAATATCGTACATACCAACCACGTCCCCCAAACCACCTCCTTTATCTGATGCCCTGAAGCATGAAGTGTCACAAGCATATGATTAAGGCATAGCCTGGCAAGGCCAAAGAAAACAGGTACGCCACAAAGGGCAAACCCACAGACTGTGCTACTGAGATCTATCATTTCACAAGCAGCTGCAATATTCTCCAGTTTGGCACTGACCAAATATGCAGCAATGGCTCCGAAATGTTATCACCCAGCCCTGGTCTGTGGACCCTTTATTTGAAAGGCACTTTGAGGGATTCGGTGCTTCTGTATCATCTTCAGCAGCCAACAAATCCAGAGTTTAACATTCCTTGAATTCAAATACTAGTACACACCTTATTTAAATCAGTTCATTTTTGTTTGTTCCAGAAATAAGCACCTCCTGACACAATATTAAAAAAAAAATTGCACCGTTAAAGGCAATTTAAATACAGCTCATTAAAACCCATAAACAAGTAGTGGATAGTAGAACAAGTATTTGGCACAAATCTATTGCCCATTAGGAGGTAAGGTTAGGAATCCTTATTTACATTCTTCCCCTGTTTTCTCAGAGCCACAATGGCCATGGGCAAATCACTCACGTTCAACGCCTCAACTAAATTTACATCCCTAACCCACGCTAAAACCAATGTGTCCTTGTCACATTTTATTCTTCTATAAGGTGAATAGTATTCGTTACAATTCTGCGAGATGTGACTTGATTCACGCTCTTTAATACTTTACAAACAAAATATTAATGTTCTACTATGGCAATTAATACCATAATCGTGAATTAGATTCACCTGCAGTTTAAAATACCAGTAAACAGATGATCTAAAAATTATATTCCTCAGACGTATCCACACAGTTCCTGAAACATAATATTTTCATAATTACTTAAATGCAAAAGCTGTCAATATTAGGTCTCTGAAACATACATATAAACATACAAAAAAGAATGATGCTTCCTGACAGAAGAGATGCATTTAAGAGAGAGACCTAAATTTGTTTTAATATACCCTCAACACACATGTACCACCTGCTCAGTGAATACAGTTCTCTAAGAAGCAGCAAGTCAATTATATGTATGATCTTAGGTCTTCAAAGCTGCTTGGGAGAGTAAAACTGCTCATTCTAGTGACAGCTGTGGGCCACAATCCCCTATGGCAGGCTTTGAAAAAAATCTCAGCTTTACAGATCAATTGGCAGTAAAATTCTCATTCTCTGTAAAGTCTCCTGGATATCCTTAAATTTGTAATGTGCCTGTAATGCAGTATATCTGAGACAGATGATGCCAAAGCACTGCAGAACTCCGAGGGGGAAAAAGCGCTTTATTAAGGAGAAACTATCCTCCCTACTGACCTAGGAATATGTATTTTCCGGTCTAACTCTTTACTGTTCCCTAAAGACACTACCAACACCCAGCTAGATCCAGCAGTAGCTTTGCCGTGCACATCACACCCGTGTGTCCTTTCGCTGTCAATCGCTCAGACTTGAACTGCAGTTAAAACCAGAATTAATTAAATGAAGAAAACATATAGCAAAAGTCTGTTACGTTTTTCAGGCAACCAGCCCACAGATTTGGGGGGATTCCATGCCGTTCTGAGTGACAGGAAGACTGTTTGTGCAGCGGTCGCTAGGACAAGAGCTGTCTCTAAGAGACATGCTATTAAGCTGTGACCCATGCTACAACTACTGCATTGCACTAATTTTCATACAATTTGTTGCTACGAACATTGTGTTCTGCTACTTTTCATATAATTCACCAGCCAGGAGGTCCAAGGAAGTAACAGATTCAGCATACAACCTAGTTCTCCAACCATCTATGTACTGGAGGAAATAAACTAGTGGAAGTTCTGCTAAGAATCACAAAACTAAAGTAAAGTAAAACTTACAAAAGCAAACAAAAAAAACCCCACGCGAAATTAAAAGCTTCGGAAGATTCAACACACTCCTCCCACGCTAGACACACAGTAATTTGCACACTCACAGAAGTCTTTACAGTTACTTTAGAAAAAGCCCAGACTAAGGAAAAGGTGACACGCTCTGTACTACTTAATACACCACTCTACACCAGCTTGCTAAGAGAGGGAACATGGAAAGAATTAACAATGGACTATGAAGGAAAAAAGACTGTAGGATTTCTAAGTACAGGTATATATGCAAGCTTAGTGATGTATCTTGAAAAGCCTTGGGTTTTGTTTAACTTTGTCCTGCTAAAAAAAAAGGTAACTTTTTACAGACAGTCTAAAGTAGAGCTGACTAATTTTATAAGGTGGATCAAGAACAGACTTTTCACTTCCTATTCCTAGATTACATTTAATATCCTGAGTAACTTATTCTCCAGACCACATAAAATATTGGATGGTGTACCAGGAATCCACCATACCTGTACACTGAACTGCAATCTCCCCAGTAAAATCTAATGAAATACTATTCTCCCACATTACCAGGCACTGAAACTGTTTCCCCTTGCTATATCTTGTGTCTTCTGAATTTGGGTTCTCCAATTAAAAGCACAGAAGACAACTATTTCCTGTAGTACCCTCTCTCAATCACGTCTCCCTTCCAAGAAGCCAAGCAGTTTAGGCGAGGGAACCGTCATATTCACATACAGAGGATCCAAATCCAGGGCAAGCACAATGACTGCTAAACATTTAGAGACAGGAGGTGGAGGTGGCATAGTGATAGTGACATAAATCTGATTGCTTCCTGCCCGTGTTTCAAGCCACGACGAGAATTATTTTCTACTAAAACATTGCCTCATTCAGAACACAAAATACGTCTGCTCTGAGGACTCTACAAAGAAGAGGATTAGAGTCTACAGATCCCCTCACTCTGCTTATTAAGTAGGTGATCTGCTACCAAAAAGGAGTTAAGCTATTTTAAACATCTGAAAGATCCTTTGGAAAAATGGCTTCTAGCCATCTCTGCTCCATAGTCCGTGTGATGCTCGTTACTGTCTTCTCCTGTCCTGGTTTCCCCACTGAGGAACCCAAGACCTGATCTGCAGGGGTACTGCTACACAAGCCAAGCAGAAACCATCACCTGAAGCAGTGAAATGTTAGTGTGTGCTAAGTACTCCAGAAAAAAACACAAATCTAGAAGGTAAAAGTCTCAACTTCAGCATCCAAAGTTAGTGGAACTTAGTCCCTCTGCCTTAGCTCCCCACCTGTACAAGGAGAGTAACACCAGCTCCTTGTTCTGCTGAAGTCATCGGAAAGGACTTTCATGCTTACAAAATGCTTCCACTCCAACAGAAGGATAAGGTAATTAGTAATTTTGTCTTGAGACTAGGCTTTGATTAGCTCTCGTGTGTAGGCAACAAGACTTCATCCCAAAATGCAAAACTGGCAGAATCAAGCCATGTTTCAAAGGACACCACAGAGCGGGAGTGCAAGTCGTGGCCACACCACCATTGCTGTCAGTTAAGTAACGGGCATGTGGTGGAGAATTACTCCCCTACTTTCCATCAGTCTGCCTTAACTGGCAGCTGTCACCACTCCCACTTCGCAGGAGAATGAAGAGGTCCTTAGACGAGGGAGTGAAACTGTGAGTCACCCCCAGGGAGATAATCCAAGAAGGACTTCATAAGAGGTGCACCCCTGGAATCACCTTGCCTCCCCCAGTGCCAAACGCCCCTCCAGGAATGGGGGCAGGCAGTCAGGTTGGCCAGCCATGGGATAAGCACAGTTGCATTATAGGGATTCGGAGGAGCTAGAGGAGCTTTCGGCTAATTGTTATTTTGATTACCGCAGGCAGCCCCAGCACCTCACGGGTTGCCTAGCAACATTTCTCACTCCTTGGGAGAGCCAGCATCCATTTCGGAGGTGGCCTCAAGGAGCAACACCACATCAGCGTAAACGAGCAGGGGGTGCGATCCACAGCACCTTCCTCCTGCACTGTGCGGGAAGCCCGACATCCCAGATGCCAATTCAAAGCTTCATTTAGATTTACCCTACTTCCCGTAAATCATACGGTCATCTGTAACATCCTTAACACAAACCATAGCAGAAACACAAGTCTTGCGCACGGTAATTAACATTTAGTTCAGATGCACTAGAGAAAAATAATCAATCCTGCCAATTAGCAACCAGCAGATTAAGTACGGCTTTGATCAGTAAACAGCCTGACTGGCTTGGAAAAGTGTCACGTAAAACTGACATAACAAAATAACACAGTGTATGTTGGGGAAAGTAGCTCTGCAGGCCTGGACTTGGGCTATTTGAAACAGGACAACTAAACACCAAGAAGCAGCCACCACCACACAGAAGGAAAGACACCAAACACGGGAAGCAGAACACACACCTGCACAAACAGCCACCCAACCCCTTACTGGCATCACAGACATTACAGGTGTCCTCCCGAAAAGCACGAGGAAGACCAAACCATGAGAGTTACTCAGGTACGTTTGAAAGAAGCACTTTAAGGATTTTTAAGGAAAAACGCATCATACACACCCTCCTCTTCTGTGGCGCTCCTTGTGCTTGGAGATTTTGTACGGTAGAGACCTTTCTCCCAGGTTTTCTAGGTTCCTCACAATGGCTCCTCTCTCCATAAGAGCCTCAACAGTGCGCTTCAGCACAGCTGCAGTCTCGGGCTTTAAAAAGAGAGAAAAAAAGAGAAAGCGGGAAATGTACACAAATCTGGTTATTAGATTGCACAACTCAGGGCTGGAAGAGATCATTCTGTAACCCAAGAGAGCAAAATGGAAGCAGACCTTCTCCTGAGGGTGACAATTTTTAAGAACAACCAACCAATTCCTCTGTGACTTATGGCAAAGTTTCCACCGATTTGGAAGTCAGGCCCCAACCACAACAGGAAAAAGGAAATAGCTGATGGATTTAACTCACCTGGTATCACTTTGGCTGACCCTCGCACAGGTGTTAAGTAAATATATTTGGCAGAGAGCAGTTACGAACTGGCAAGAGTTTTAAGGTCCCTGGCCGATCGATGCGCATTAATATTGTTCACCGCGACACGTAAACTGAACAGTGTAGGGGAACACTAATCCTTGACTCGCTACGGAGACAACAATTAGCACCACCTTCATTTGAGATGGTCATTTCTACTGCACGCGCGTAACAGATAGTGGGACCCCTGGCTAGATGACTGCACACCTCATTACTTGCACACAGCTGACAGCCAAGCCCTTTTAAGAGTTAAGGAACTGACGTGCGGTAATTAGTCTAACATGCAGAGATTTCACTCCTCAGAAAAACAAGTTTGAGGGACAGGCAGCCAAAAAACAGTAGGTAAAACAGATGCAACGTTTTCTCGCTCACTGCATATCAGGGCTCTTTAGAGTGCTGAATCATTTCGGTAATGACACTCAACAATATCTATGAAAATGTTAATAAAGTACAAATTAGAATGTTTTGAAAACAACTGCAAACTTCTAGACTCTCAGCAACAAGAAGTACTTTAAGAAACAGATCTCCTACAGAGAAAGGAAACTAAATGGATGCCCAGCTGAACACTAACCACACCGTATAGCTTTCTTCTGCGATCCTTGCAGTATTGCACCTCAAGATGCATTCCCGAGTCTGCTTGTCCAGTGAGATGGACGCAGCTGTAAATGAGAAAGTAATTAAAGAGCTGATTTTAAGTTTTAATCATATTTTATTTTGATAAATCAAACCACCATAATAATTCCCCTATGCCTTCGCAGACAGGAGAAATCTTGTGTAAGCCTTCGATCACCTTATGTATAAGAGGACCAAAAGTTAGTTTAAGTCTACAGCAGAGATGCACACCTTGACTAAGAAAAAGGCTTGTTGAATGTCCAGATCCCTTAATGGAAACTGGTGAAAAAAAGGTGGTTCCAGACTCCACAACATGGAAAGCAGTCCACTCTCTGGCGTGTGAAGTTTCTCTTTCATTTTCCTGAGGATACAAGATGAGGTGAAGCAGCCACCAAATGCAGAGCAGAAAAGTTCAACGTGTGGTGTTTTGCAACGTTGATGCGTCTTTGAAAGACCTGAAGTGCTGACCGTGTGAAACGTTTTCTGGTTCCATGGGCTAAGTGCCCTGTGGCAGTCAAGAGTCAGTCACAGGATCACACCTACTGCTCCCCACCATCAATCAGAAATTTTATCCCATTCTCTCCAGCTGCATAAACTGTTTGGGAAATTTATTTTCCAAACAAACAGCCTGAACAGTTATAAGGTTGGCAAAAATGCCTGGACTTTTTTTGCCAACATGTGTTTAGATGGTGTTCTGTAAAACAATCATGGGGACCAGACAAGTATGTTCACACGCAAAGAGAGGGTGCTACCTTGCCAAAATTCTTCAGTGTGTTAAATCTATTGTTACTCACAACAAACAAATACTAAAGGTATCTTTTGTCACAAGGTGAAAAGTTAGGATGAAGGGATTAAGAGATTTTATGGTTTATACTATATAAATGTAAATGGTGCTTTAGCTCAAAATCAGGAACAACACTGCTTTTCAGTTGACACCACAGGGGATGGCTGCCTCCATTACCATCCACCAGATTTTCAAGTAAGCACCTTTCATGCTTATGACCTCCTTCCCCAAAATGTTTGCAGAACTAATTGGGTCTCCCTACAACTTTCTGGCCTCTCGCCACAAAGCAAGCCCTTCTCACAAAAGTCTGAATTTCGAGATTTCCAAAACTCGTTTGAGCTTACTTGGAACAAAACCAGCATGTTCAAAACTGACAAAAGAGAGACTGACAGATGGACAGGCAGACTGCAACTATACAGCCCTTTGCTAGTTAAACAGCATAAACCCAATTCTGAAAAATCATGTAGGCACTTGCTTGTTGATGCTACAGCTGATGATGCTGACCAACTGTTGATGCTGTCTGTGTTAATACTTTCATTACCCCCTTTAAAGCTATCTTGTCTCTCAGATACTTCTGCATACTAGATTCAAACACGAGAGAGTATCCCATCACACAAGGATTTTCTTCCAAGAATGGATTCTTAGTCTTCTCTGTATGCTCATATTTTGTGTTACTTTTTGTACGTTTGACAACTACCACCAAGAAGCCACATGCAGTCCTCTCTCTCCCCACAAGCCCAAGCAGAGGGACAAGCAAATACTACCAGAGAAGAACTGGGAAGCAGCAGGAGCTATGGCATGCTGCTCCCTCAGTACTTCGAGGAGTACTCAAGGAGTGGGAAGAGGGACTGTGAAATCTGCTGGAATCTGACAGGACTGAAGGTTAGGAACAGAACCAAGAAGAGTCAAGTAAGGAGGTCGACTAACGTCTTCACAATGCCAGCAACTAGGAGAGAGCACAGAACAAAACCTCTCATTCTACATCACACCCACATGTTGCTTCGCCATAGTGTGAAGTGTTCTTTCAACTTCTGCTATTGGAGAAACATTAGTAACAGCCAGAGGAGCAGCTCCGCTTCATTTGACCCTGTCCTCCACACTTCACAAATGTCAAAACACAAGGGGAGAGAGGGGAGCAGAGGCTCTTTTCTTGCAGTTTTCCCCACGAAGAGTTTCTACCCAAGCTCCTCATGGCTGTTTCAGCTCACCATGCATGGCACAAAGGCAAGAGAAGCTGGCCCAAACTCCAGACAGGCTTTTTGCTGCTTCCATCAATGCAGGATCTCAGCACTCAAACCCATCTAAATCAGGATCTACCAGTGAGACACTCTAATTTGTTGTGAAACAGCAGCTTCACACAGACAAGCCAAAAACCAGGGTAACAGAGCTGTTAGGGATATCCATAGAATCATAGAATCATA